CCTAACCACATTTGTAACTGATGGTAAACTCGAAGAACATGCTGTTTGGCTGCACCTTCAGTTTGTGGCAGAGTTTCTAGTTTAAACGATGATTTACCGATATTTCCGTTGAATTGTAAGTATCTTAAATCGTTTAAAGAAAGTTAATTGTTATTTTTTATATTTTAACTGCAGTAGATCACTATTTAACTGGGAATAAGCCACAATTAAAGATAAAAATACGTTTATTGACGTTTGAATTTCCACTTCGGAAATCGTTCTCAAAATACAAACAATAAATTAAACAAATTTTGTTTTTTTTTAAATATAATTTACTATAATTATAATTATTGTTTAGTTTTCTGTTTGTATTTTGAGAACGATTTCCGAAGTGGAAATTGAAACGTCAATAAACGTATTTTTATCTTTAATTGTGGCTCATTCCCAGTTAAATAGTAATTAATTTAAAATGCCACAAGAAAAGAGCTTCAGAATAAAACTGCAGTAGAGTATAGAACCAGAATCACCTCACAACCAATTCTCATTATATTCTCTTTACTTGTGTTAAAATCGCAGAAAATATCCATGAAACTAAGAGTTTCTTCGTCTGCGTTAATTAATTTAAACTTCTCCTAATTATAAAAGCATAAAGTGGTATCACATCCAGTGAAAATGTACAGAAAGCCGACGTACTTTCTTAAATAAGGGTGTTGAAAACTGTTACAGCTATAAAGTGTAGATTTATCCTTTTCACCTTTCTTTTAAAAAAATATAATTATTCAAAAATCAGAATATTGCAAGCTTACATACATAGAACGAATCTTTAAAAAAAAAAAATATATATATATATATATATATATATATATATATAATATATATATATATATATATACTATATATATATATAATATATATAAATATATATATATATACTATATATATAATATATATATATAATATATATATATATTATATATATATATATATATATATATATTATATATATATATATACATCGGAAAAAGGAGTACGACCGTCAAATTCCAATATATAAAAGGATCACTCAACAGAGTGGTGAGTGATCCTCATTTACAGTTCACTGTTGAACTTGAGGACAGCATCACCAATAGCATTCCCTTCTTAGACATGCGTGTCATTAGAATGGGAGATAACACCCTAACCACAAGTTGGTATAGAAAACCCATGGCCTCAAATAGGTTCCTTAATTACCACTCCTGTCACCCTATGAAGTATAAACTAAACCTTATACAAGCTTTAAGCTGCAGATTACATAAATTGACACATCCAATTAATCGAAGGGAATCCCTTAAGTTATTAAGAAATATTCTAATACAGAACTCATATCCATCATCAATCATAAACAAATACCTTTACACACAAAGCTATGGTTCCTCGTTTGATGACATACCCAATGGTGACCAACTCAGAACTATTTCAAATAACTCAATTAATAGCATTGTTCTGCCTGATACTGAGTCTGAGAATCCTATTATCCATTACTCTTCTCTACCTTATTTTCCTCAAGTTACTGAGAAACTTATTAAACTGTATAAACAAAATAACATTCCTGTTAAAATTGCTGTCAAGAACGCAAAAACTGTTAGAAATCTTTTTTCAAAAACTAAAACACCATTGTCTACTTTAGAACAAGTCAATACAATTTACCACCTTCCATGTTCTGACTGTGAAATGTGCTACATTGGCCAGACCGGTAGATCTTTAAAAGGTCGTCTTACTTCACATCGTAGTGATATTAATTTATCAAAAAATACGTGTGCTCTCGCACATCATGCTATTAGCACCAAACATAAAGTGGATTTTAATGAAGTTAAGATTCTTGGCACTGAACGTAATCTATTTAAAAGACAGTTTTTAGAAATGTGTTCAATTCTTAAACATCCTAATTCTCTAAATAAGAGAACTGACATAAGTAACTTGAGCCAAATTTATCATGCTCTAATATTGCAGAACTAGGCTTTACTTTCTTTTTCAATATAATTATCATGTAATATACATATTTGAACACAAAATTTTTCATTGAATAATATAACATAGTAAATAAATAACTAATATAAAATAAACTATAACACTCAATTCTTTATAGCAATTACTTAAATATAGGCAACTTTCATTACAAGGTTACCTCTACATTATAATTTGTCCATATGAGTGTGAACCAGTCACTATTTAATAGTATAGTAATAATATTAACATTGTAATTGATTCATAGAATCCTTTACAAATTACAGATCTAAGTGTATGAAGCTTAGACTGTTGGAAATTATCTAATTGTTATTCACCTGTTGGCAAAAATTTCTTCAGCCACAATGTTTAACATAAATTTAAATATAAGAGTTTGGATGAAATTCTCCTGTTTGTTTGTTTTTAGACGGGCTAATGCGAGTGATTGTTATTACTATATCAGTCTCTTTCATTGGATTGTCTCTTACAAGCGGGCTGTCATCCAAAGCTCATTAACTTTTAAATAAACCGCTCAATTATTTGAGGTGGTACCTCTGACCTTGCTGTTCTGTTGAAATAATTTCAACCTCAAGGTTGGCTGTCTTTTCGTAGATCTGTGTCAGTCTGTTCAATCTAACGCCATTTTCCTGGTAGCAGGTGTAAGGCTTAGACCGGTAACTTCATTCTTTTACACTTATTTTATTTTTAAATTATATTAACATCTTTTAATAATGCTACCAAAAGTTAAAATTAAAATTTAATAATTATCTATTGTTGGAAGTTAATCGTTGATTTTCTTAGTTCTTTGCATCAACTACGTTATAATTTAACATATATTTTTTATACTTTTGACCACATGGTCACTCATTGTGCTAATTTTTTAATAAGTCACTAAATGTTGTTAGTAAATTAAATGTTTATACATTTCTACTTTATATTGTCCATTTATTCAAGTTTAATTCATAAGCTTGTTAACATCTTTGACTGCTACATGTCTTTTTAAGGTAACACCTGTAACATCTTTTCCATGATTGTGTGGTTCTTATATTATACTTTTTAGAATGAACTGATGATGCTTTCAGAATACGAAAGCGAAACGTTTTCAAAATAGATAGAGTGGCACATCAACTTTGTCTTTCATTTCTCCACCTACAAATTGACCGATATAAGAGCCCACCACTCTGTTGAGTGATCCTTTTATATATATATATACATATATATATATATATATATATATATATATATATATATATATATATATATATATATATATCTCAACCGATCACTGGAGGGAAAAAGGAGTTCTTAACCACCTTTTCCTTTCAGTTTTTGGTTTTTACAGACAGTTTGTCGACCAAATTTTGTCATATTTTTTAAATAAATCGCTCTATTGTACTGGAGTTGGTAGTAATACGCCTTGTTGTTCTGTCACTCGTTGACCTCTTGGCATCTTTCCTTTCACGTTGTTGACGTTTAACACCTGTTGCCTTCATTTCACTAGCAGCACTCGACAAGCTCTCAGTGGTAACTTCATTATTACTTTTAAATTACTAAATTTTTAATTAATCATTAGAACAATGCTACCTAAAGTTAAGATGAAATCTTAATTATCGATTTACTGTTGGAAGTGCATTCTTGGATCTTTTAGTTCTTTTCCCCACTAATTTTGTTTTTTATATATAATAAGTTTTTACCTATAATTTTTTTTCATGCATGTACAACTACCACATGTTTTTTTGCTGTGCTAATTTTATGAAAATTGTTAACTATATTTAGTTTAATTTATTGTTTATACAACATAATTATACAATGTCCATTGTCGTAAGCTTCTTTACAATTGTTAATATCACTGACTGCTACATATCTTTTTGAGGTAACATACTTAATAACTTTTCATTGGATGTTAGGTTTTTCATATTGTTCTTTTTAGATGAACTGATGATTCTATCAAATTGGATAGCGAAACGTTTTCAATAATAGATGAAGTAGCCATCATCTTTGTCTTTTTTCTCCAATTTTTGACCGAAAAACCCGCCACTCTTCGAGTGATCCTTATTTTATATTGGATTGACGGTCGTACTCCTTTTCTCGATATATATATATATATATATATATATATATTATATATATATATATAATATATATATATATATATATATATATATATATATATATAAGTTTAAAATTGGTAAAGAAAAAATAATATTGATTGGATTAATTATAACGCCCATAGCTTTTAAGTATTTTTCCAGTATTAGTCCATTAAGAGAATTTATTACTATAGCCTATTCTTATTGCGGCGTCTCCTTTCAAAGGTTGGTAATTCAAATGGCAAATATAGCTTAGGAAACTGCTGCACGAAAGATTTCTGTGAATGGACGGTCAAACCATCTCCTCAGATCTTTCAGCCATGAAACCTGGTGTCGTTCAACTGACCTTGTGCATTGTTCTTAAACTTCCACTATTATTTGGAATAATTAATATATTTCTCCTCTCAACACATGACGCAAGTATTGCATTTATCTCTCTTTGATTATGCAAGTAATTCTTTTCGTTAACTCATCCTCTGAAGTACCCCACCGTTAGTATCTTTTAGTACCCATGGAATTCTCAGTATATAGCTTATTACTGGGTTGGGAATGACATTGGCTTCTGTCGTTTTGTAATTTGTAAATAGGATTTTGAAATTTTAGTGGGTAAATTCGATATATGACTTGTATTATTAATTATTTTTAATTTTGATAATTAACATGCTCAATTCAAAAGCTGGTCATGTCACCTATCCAGAAATGACCGATTAGGGACAGCTTTTTTTTTAACGTGTTTAAAAATTGAGGTTTTGATTTTGTGTATATATTTAGTATGAAGCTTGTAATGTTTTGGTAACAATATATTAAAATCGCTTATTTCAGCACATATGATAAAAACACTTTTCACTTGAATATTGGCAAACCTGACTTGAATATAAATATTCTATTTAATTACATTTATTTAACACCGATATATTTATACCAATTACTGTTTATTAAAAAGTGGGTCTTCGATATGTGTTTACGGTTCGATAGTTGAAACTAGAATCCTTTTTCTTAATATTAAACATTTATTAAATTATTAAAAAATTAAAAAGAAGGTAAAAATATTCCAAAAGTATATACTAATTATTTTTATTTTCTATAATACATTTAAATATTAGCCTCGTGATTGGAAAATTGGATGATCTACAAAGGTGAGTTCATCGGGACCATTATAGTGTTCAAATACGATAATTGTATTTTCACCTTTATTTAATAAAGGTGCAGGCAGATATAAACTTTGTTGGGGACCAACAAAGAAATGTCTTCCTAAGACAAATCCATTAACTATGGTTATACCTTTTGTCCATTGAGTTGAATCTATATATGTGTCCTGTGGGTCGTTATCAATATTTAGTGTAAACTTGTATAAAGCAGGTGTAGATTGTGTTGATGTTAAAGGCTGCCAGTTCTTTAGAGCAACGTTCCAAGATTTTTTAAATTCCAGTGGAATAATATCAAATTTCATCATATTTTTTCCATTGATTTGAAATGAGTCTGTTAATCCTTTAAATTGTCTAAACTGATCTAACCCTCCATAATTGTTGCGTCCATTATTTTCAACTACAATGTCAATAACGTATGTTGTTTCAGGAGTATTTGTATCTGTCTGAAGATCTAAAGATGTATTAACTAACCTCCAAAACCCTACACCATCAACGTCGCTCTTTTTTGAAGGAACTGGAGTTCTGAGTATTCCATTAACTAATACAAGCAATGTGTCTCTTACAGTTCCAGTCAATGTTAGTTTTACAGCTCCAGCTGTAGTATGGGTATGTCTATAAACAATATACCCAAAGCTTTGTCCAGAATTATCATTAATTGGCAACTGTTCCATCGGAATTGGATCGCCAGTGTGTTGAATTACATTTTCTCCTGATTTAATTTCTGAGTTTATTATGTCCGCTAAAGTTAACTGCCCTTCAATTTGTAGAGACGCATACTTAACCAAAGGTTCTGCTTTAGGTTGATCGGGCAATTTAGTCTTAACGGGGTTACGAGCAGCAATTGCATCCTTTACAATTTGATATTTTTCTGTGTAATCACCATATTCAGTTATAGGAGAATCATAGTCGTAACTTGTGGTAGTAGGTTGAAGTCCAGTATTGTCCATACCTGAATGAAGACTATTAGCTCCATTCGTAAAACCGAAGTTGGTACTACCTAAAAAATCAAATATAAATCATAAAAATATATAAAAATTTAACAACAAGAATTAAAATGATGATATTTAATATTTCACAACAAGTAATTAGAACTGGTATTTTACGTTAATTCGAACATTAAAAGATATTTATAAACAAAAACATAGTCGTTTCAGTAGTTTCATAAAACACAATAGTAATAGTAATTTCCCAAACCCATAGAGATATAGAGTTCAAAATTTTTATGTGATTCAGCTTGCTACACTAGCTGTTTTGAACGACGGGACACCATGACGTAAGTCTTATGAAGTTCGTCAATACTTAAGTCAACAGTTGTCGTATCGATGTGTTGGTCATGGAGGTGTTTGCTTGACTACCAAGAAGTCCTGAATTAAATCTTTTGGATTTTTTAATTTGGTCCTAAATAAAGGAATGTTTTTTTTAGATTTGCAACAGAAAATAGAAGATGCCGCAAATGTAAATAACAATAATAGACAAAGTTTATTTGATATTAAGAAATCTCTGCGAAACCATATCATAAAGTGAATAGAAATAAATGGTGGATATTTTAAACATTTTCGTTAAAGTTTTTTTGGTTTTTTACTTTACATGTAAACAAAATACAAACGTTATTGTTTGTATTTTGCCAGGGAGGATTTTTGATCTCTCGGTACCCTGATGTATTTTGTGTTTTCTTGGTGCGTAGAATCGATTTTTTTAGAGCACCCGGCTGAAAATCCGTCAGATAATCTGTTGTTAACAATTGAATTATTTAAATGTTTGTATGTGCTAAACTTGCAATGATAATTAAATTCACCATAATAAAAATTGTACCTTTTATAACAATAAACAAAATGGCGTTTGGTAAACTTTGATTCGATTGCTGGAACCGGAGTTGTAACAAATTTCATGAAAAACACTTGCAAATAGGCATTTGATAGGGCTTTTCCAAGTATAACTTAGCTTTCATATGTGCTATTAATTTCCAAAACACGCGTTCCTTTATCTAACCTTTTGCTGATGTGTCAGCTATAAGCTTTGAAAGTTGTAAATTGATTATTGCAGAGACAGACTGATGTTTGGGAAAATTTAGACACAGTTTATCAGTGGTGTACGTGGTACACCAAGCACCTAGGTATGTGAGTAAATTTTGTGAGATTTAAATTACGCTTTTCTACTAAAAAATGGCATTATTAATGTATAGAGACTTATATGTAACAAAAGCTAGACGGTTTGCAACGTTTTAAATAACAGAATGTGTAATTTTGTTATTAAGTTTTTAAGAAAACTTATATTTTATTACAATGAAGCTAGTGTTATAATAATATATTTAATGAAAAATTTTATATTAGCATTTACTCATAAGGGGTTCAAAGGAGTAATGATGCGCATTATAAGATGCTGTTTCCAGTTAGCATCTCTAGCCTCTCCTACTCAATTCCTATCCTCACCTCCACGAAGTGTGGTCTTGACCACACGGGTGGACCCCGGAAACCTGAGCAACCTTGTTGAAGATTGGAAACCAACCCCAATGGAAGGCAGGGTCAGGTCGAACGAGGAAGGGAGAACATGGTCCTTCGAAAAGGAGGTTTTGCTACGGACCAGCGACTCATACAAGTAAAAAAAGTATTGCTATGAAACGAATATTATTGCCTCGGAATAGGACAGATTATAAAAACAAACGACGAAAGCTATGAACAAAGTATATTCTATTAGGAACATGGAATGTTCTAAGTTGGTACAGACCTGGAATTGCCACGACAGCGATAAAACAACTAGAAAGCTTGAACTATGATGTAGTAGCCATTCAGGAGGTGGGATGGACAGGATCTGAAGCAATACACATGAAGAAGCCATTCGTACTGTGGTCTGGACATGAAACTCGACATGAAAGAGGATGTGGCTTTATAATACATGAAAGACTAAAATTAGGGTTATTAGACTTTAAACCAATAAACGAACGAATCTGCATCATAAGATTAAGAGGTAAATGGTCCAATTTAACTATAATTAGGCACAGAAGACTACGTAATACTAGTGGCAGGAAGATATAGTCTACATGAAGTTAACAGCCATAATGGATCACGTTTGTTCGATTTAGCGACAGGCTGAAACTTTGCCATCAAAAGCACCCAGTTCGCTAGAAAAAAGATCCACAAGGCAACATGGAGATCAAACGATGGAAGGACAAATAATCAAATAGATCACGTATTGATTGATGGGTGACATTCTAGCAGCATAATAAGTGTAAGAACTATGAGAGGGTCGGACAGCGACACAGACCATTTTCTCGTAAAGGCCAAGCTTAGAACAAGAATTTCAACACAAACAATAGATAAACACACAAAGATCGAACAATAGACTGTGCCTAAGCTGAAAGAAAAAATAATCAAAGACAGTACCAAGTAGAATTAGAAATCGGTTTCAGGTTTTGGAAATAAATAAAAATGAAAGTGAAGATATAGATCAGCGATGGAACTAAATAAAAACAACTATTACAGAAGCAGCAGAGAAATTTATCGGAAGAACGAAAAAAACAAAAAACCAAAAATTGATTATCTCTGTCGAATCCATCAGAAGAAAAACGAATACGATTTCACAGAGAGAGAGCCGCAGCTAGAAGAATACTTAGACAGAAAAAGAGACAATATCTGCAGCAACAAATCGAAAAAGTAGAAGGAGAACACAGACGAAATCAAAGTAAAAATTTCTACAGAGAAGTAAGACAACAAGAGAGGCTCGTATATAGGTACACCCAACTTCTTAAGAGATAAAAATAGAGAAATGCTGGCTGCCGAAAACAAAATAATAGAAAGATGGGCTGAATATTTTGAAGAGCTCCTGAATATCCAAAATTTCACTGATGAAAACAATGAAAATGGTGGAAACAACGGAGAACATGAGTATCAAACCGTCGAATTAGAAATACCCCCACCAAGTATGGAAGAAATTACGCATGCCATAAAAACGCTTAAAAACGATAAATCCCCTGGTCTGGACAATATTGATGCCGAGCTAATTAAAACAGGCGGTCATGAACTCATAAGTAAAATCCATCAATTAATAGAAATGGCCTGGCAACAAGAAATAATGCCGAAAGAATGGTGTGGTAGTATTATTGTACCAATACACAAGAAAGGAAAAAAGGAGTCATGCATGAATTACAGAGGAATCTCACTAATCAACACTACATATAAAATATTGGCTTCGATATTATTAAAAAGATTAGTACCATACGCCGAAGAAATAGTTGGTGACTACCAGTGTGGTTTCAGGCCTGGCAGATCGACTATTGATCAAATATTTACAATAAGACAAATGCTTGAAAAGTATTGGGAATATAATCACGACGTGCATCAGATTTTATAGACTTCAAACAGGCTTATGATTCAATTAATCGTGCAACATTATGGAAGGCAATGATCGAGCTCGGCATACCCAAGAAACTAGCTGCGGTAACACAAATGTGTGTAAGTAACTCTTTTGCACAAGTTAGAATAGGGGGAAAAATATCAAATGCTTTCTGAGTAAATTCTGGGCTGAGACAGGAAAATCCGTTGTCCTTATTGTTGTTTAACCTAGCCTTAGAGTATGTCATGCTGTAACGAGTCCGTTACTTAAATAACCACTTACCTTTTGTGACTGGAGTCTTTTAATTTAACTTTAATTTAAATTCATATTTGAAATATTCTTAAACTGAATATTTAAATAACTCCCAGCAAATTTTACTTTCTAAGGTTGGCATTAAATCCCGCCCTCTGGTGTAAGATTCTGAAAGTACGTCGACTTGACGACTTGTAAGTGTTAATAGAATTACTTGTTGACTGGGTGTGATCGAAGACAGATCGATCGATCATAGTGGCGGCTGGGAGGTGCCATTTTTGAGGAATTTAGTTTAAGTTTATTTTTTTTTATGAAGAACTTCTGATTTAAAGGCAACAATTTAAGTTATTTTTGGGTGTTTTGTACGAGGATACTTTAAGTTTTGGACCACCTCAGCCGGTAAGATGAACTTATAAATATATTATATGAAAAACCATGTCTGATCATCCGCCATTGTTAGTGAAATTCAAATCAATTTTAATCCTTTCTCGATAGATATTTCACACATCTTATATATGTCCTATTTTACGATATTTCTCGATAGATATTTCACACATCTTATATATGTCCTATTTTACTTTATTTCATTAATACCTAAATACATTACAAGTATTATATTTTATAATCATTTCAAATTTTATTTCTTTCCAAGGATGAAAGCAAACAATTATCTATTTCAATTCCATACCGTTTAAACCGGCTAATATTTCTTTTTTCCTATTTTATAATATATAAAGATCATGCTTTCCGTTAAAACTATCTTATAAAAAACATTGTCACACCATTCGAAGGTCACTATTTATCAAAACCATTAGGGTTTTTATTCCAATTTAAGGTCACTGGTTGACATTTCTTGTATCACCTTTCAAGGTTGATAAACCTTGTGTGTTTTTCATACCTTTTTGTATGTACAAAGGACATGAAGTAACACAATTGTTCCTTTTTTAGCCAACTTCCGGAACCCAGTCACAAGTCAGGGAAGAAACCTTTAGTTTTGGGGTTATATTTATTAAGGAGAAGGGGAAGAAATTTTAAGTTATATGGGGATTTAAAGAAGATTTTTTTATATATACATGGAATCCAGGTTTGGTGTACTTTTACCCACTGGAGTCTAGTTCTTCACCGGATCATCTTCCAGGGCAACCTACGGAAACCGGCAGGAAGAACTTATTTTGTTTTTGTTTGTCATTCCAATATTTTTTATAACTTTTTTGCAACATCCTCTTCAAGGTTTTAACTTTTGCTTTACTTTAATTTAAATATATATCATTAATAATAATTGCCTTCACTTTTTCATAAAATATTAATCATTGTAACGTAATTTAATTATTTATTGTCCACCAAGGGTTGAGATTGTAACTCCCCTGGACTCTCTCGTTATCAGGTTATAGTGTGCACACATATCTGGAGAGGTTT